TCACATATATACATAAAAATGTTAATTCTATCTTTTGATGTTAAATTTGAATGATTTTTTTGTAGATAATCTCTTAAATTTCCATCTTGATTATAATTAAGCACTATTGCATAATTTCCATTTTCTGGGAATTTAGTTATACCATAACAAGGAGTAATTAAATTTGAATTAATTTTACAATAATTCAATGCCTGAAATTAATAATTAATTATATAAATAAATCAATTAATTTAAAATAAATGATTTAATTTAATTTAATTTAAATAAGAACAATTACCTCATCAAAAAAAGGTTTTCCTGGATTACTTGAATTATTTAGTGATTTTAATACTATATCCTGATCTCCAATATAAATAAACTCCTTTTTATTTTCATTATAATTATCAATATATCCTCTTGTCCACCCAGCATTATAAATAGTACTGAATCCACCTTCTGTTAATTTTTCTATGTCATAAAATTGCTCATAAGGTATCCATTCTATAATTCTACCTGGAAGAGACGAAAGCCGTTGACATTTTTGAATAAAACCATCAATTATCTCATTTCCAGATGTCCAATTGCTGAAAAGGCTCTGTAAGTGCAGACTAATACACTTTTCACAAAATTTGTCAGAGTATCTTATTGTTTTGCAATTATTGCATTCTCTTGGTTCACCCCATTTATAAGCTGCATTATCTAATTCGAAATTATAAACAAACCTTTCTCTACAAAATTCCTTTTCATTTTCTAATAGTTTTTTGTTTTCCTTGACTAATTGTAAAAAATAACTTTTTTTATTTTCTCTGTCAGAAATAGTTGGAAAAGCAGAATATGCAATACTCTCCATTTCATTATAAATTTTAAGTACTGATTCTCTTCTGTCTTGTGCTAATAAATTATTAAAAGACATTTTTTAAAAAAAAAAATTTTTTATTTGACAACATTTCTTTTTGTGGTATTTGTAAAACCTAAGGATTTAATTGACGTTTTGAGAAAAAATTCCAATCAAAAATTGCTCTGTCACGTGATTTTCAAAAGCTGTCCGGTCACGTGACTAAGCGAGATCATTCCATAAATGGAAATAATATAACTGATGAAAATATTTTGATTTATAATGATTAAAAGATGTATCCCATAAACGGGTTTTCGGCTATTGATAGCTGAAATTTTTTTTCTGTTAAAAAACTTTTTCTGAAGGTATTACTTCCTGATCTGTGAATAAAAATTCGGTTGTTATCCTTGTGGTTTTCGTAAAATTTTCCTTCAAAGTTGGTCAATTGACTATTTTTACTTTGTAGATCGTTAAATTGGCAAGGTCGTGCGTGATCAAACAATTATTTTGTGTTACTACTAAAGAATACTTTGACCGTTTAAGGGATAATAAAAAAATGACAAAAAAAACCTAACGGATGGGACCCCCATCCACACAGGCCAATAATTGCAAATAGTCACCCTCAAACCATCTAATGAATAGACAAAAGAATTAGTAATAAATATAATAAATATGTAATTTACCAATCTTGCATGAAAATAATCCTTAACTCTTTCACAAAAGAAGATTAAAAGACACGTTTTTACTAATTAATGCTTCACTGAATTTGAATTACCAATCAAATTTTTATGATTAAAAACTCGAGTCTTTTTGCTCTTATGGTAATCTAACACATACTGCATGTACAAAGAAAATTGTCTGCATTAGATGAAGTCAAGCAAGATTTGTTACTAAATTGGGTTTTAACACCAAAAAATTAGAATATCAATTTTCCTTAATTTATTATCCAATGCAATAATCAAATCTACATTCTATTTTTGATCAATAATAATTTGGCCGAAATCTAGTTATGTGCAACTTCTTCACATTAAAATTAATTGATACACATTTCACGAATAACTATAAATAATACAATGTCTGTTTATTTAAAGATGAATTTAATAATACATCATGTAAAGCCGATTTTATCATCTATTTTTATCAATGCTTCACGTCTAAAGAGAAAAAGAGAAATAATAAAATAAATTGTTCACTGAATTGAAATTTAAAAATAATAAATCATACATTACCTTCCAAAAAGTATTTGGACGATGTTTTTAATAATTACGCAAAATGCCACATAACGAAAGTAAATAAAATTTATATCATTATATGGCTTGTGTTTTTATTATCTTTCTTTTGTGATTTTTAGTTAAAAAAAAAAAACGAACACCAAATAAATCACGATGATTATCTTTGTGATTTTTTAATAATTTTGTTTCTCAAAATTTTATAATAAAAATTTAGTAGTTTTTAGTATAAGTCTCGTAAATGACTAAAACATTATGTTCTTGTCACGTTGAAAGGTTTGTTATTAAAAATAAATTTATACCAATAAATCAAAAAAATTTTATTTGATTTTTAAAAATGGTAAAAATTAAAAATTGAAGCAGAGCGAGGAAAAATATTAGGTCTAAGAATAGGTGGTAGCTCTCTTGAAAAAATCGCAAAGACATTTAATACTCCAAAGTCTACAGTTCATTATACACACTATCAAACATTATGAGAATGTAGAAAATTTAAAAAGTGTACCAAGGAGTGGTTGCCCAAAGGTATTGAAAGTTGAAGATCAAAAAATTTATGTCAAAAGAAAATCATGGTTCTTTAGAAGAGATTCAAAAAAGTTTTGCAAAAGTTAAAGTATCAAAAAATACGATTCGTACAAATTTGCATGAACTTGGAATGTTTTCCAGAATTGCTGCAAAAAACCCTTCTTAAAAAGACAACAATGGGAGACCGATCGAAATAGTGTAAAGACAGAAGAAATTGGACAGTAAGACAATGGGAAGCAGTTATTTGGAGCGATGGGTTGCGTTTCAAAATTTTTAGAAGTGATGGTTCAGCTCGAGTTTGGCGAAAAGATGGTAAACGTTACAAAATTAAGAATATTTGACCGACTGTTAAACATGGTGGTGGTGGTATAATGGTATGGGTATGTTTTTCTGGTAAAGAATTGGGTCCTTTAGTTAAAGTGGGTGGGAAGAAATTTTAGATAAAAATCTGGTTCCATTGATCACAACACAATTTCGTGGTAGAGGTTACAAATTTCAAGATGACAATGCACCAGTACACATAGTGAGAAATGTACAAAATTGGATAAAGAAATATATTGTCTGATTGGCCATCCCAATCTCCTGATCTTAATCCAATTGAACATTTATGGAGTGAATTGGAAAGGAGATTGAAAAAAGAGGAAAATTATCTAAAAAATGCAACAGAGTTGGAGGTTGCAATGAAAGAAGAATGGTCTTAGATTCCTCAGAGTGTGTTATATAATCTTATTGAAAGTATGCTAAGAAGAATTGAAGCATGTATTTCTAATAAAATAGGTGGCCAACAGAATATTAAAAAAAAAAAAGATTATTATTAAAAATAAAAAAAAATTTGACCGGTGTTTGTTTTTTTAAACTAAAAATCGATAAAAAAACGAGATTTTCTACAACCAAGTGAACAAACATTTGATGGCTAATCATTTCAATGGGTAGAAAATGAAGAAACAATTGCTTCTTTAAATTTGTTTACCCATTAGAAATTTTAAATTTTTTCTTTACAAATTTATGAATAAAAAAATAAAAAAATTCATTAGCTGAATGGAATTCCAGTAAAAAAGACCGGAACACCAGAACACATAATTCCAGATTCCGAATTCCATTCCATAACAACACTGGTCACATTACATTATAAATGATTTGACCAATAAGCATGTGGATAGAAGTTTCGCAAAAAACCGAACCGGTTTAAAAGAACCGAACCAAACCGAGCATGAACTAAAAGCTGGTTCAAAAACCGAGTTCGAACGTTTTTTTGTAAAACCGTCCCATCCCTAGTTGGGTTACATCTAATGATGGGTTTAATTGCATTTTTTTGGGAGCATAATTCACTTTGGACCATCATCATAGTCAAATAATTGTTCGAACCCAGTCAGATACATACATATTAACGTACTCTTTCTAAGGATTGATCCTTCTTTTTTCTTGTTTTGTCCGCTTCTCTTTTTCTCTCGGTAAAAGATGAACTTTCGGCCGATGCCTTTTTGAATTGCTTTTTATTTTGATCGCTGGATGATCCAACCTTTAATTTATGAACTCTTTTTTTTAATCCCTCCTTTCTTTTGGTCTTAATTATCCATCTTCTTTTCCCTCCATTCCTTACTGGTTTTTCAATGTTCTTCCATCCGGTTATCGAAAAGAGTTGTATAGTTTAAAGTTACTGGCTGCAGCTTTTGCAACCATCTTTGCGACCATTTTGCTTCCCTTTTGGATTGCGACATGGACACTATTCACTATTATTACTATTGTCAATATTAGTATCTTCTCTTTCATCTTTTGTATTATTTTCTTTTTCCGTTTTTCATTGATTCATGGGTTACAATTGTCATTTATCAAATAAAATCCTGGATTCAACGCGGTCTTCTTATCAAACAAGTGTTTGAAATTCTCCCACAACTTTATTCACCAGTTGGTTGATTTGTGTTTTTCTAGACTATTTGATTAATTATTTTGTCAATCTTTTTTATAGGTTTTGATAATTATAGTGAAAAGAAAAATCAACAATCCAAATTTAAGGATCCGCTCTCTTTGATATCACTTATTTCTCTATGTTTTTTCTCGAGAAAACTTTTGATTTCATCTAATTTCTGCAATCCACAAAAAAATTTCGCTTGTGAAGCATTTTATTAATATTAGTTAGTATTTTAGATTTAAAAATAAAAATGGCCAAATTTAATTTCTGGAATTTCTGTGAACATTGCAGTGTTAACAATTTTAGGCCCTGAAGTTTCCTTGTGACATAATGTCATTTTATTGCAGCATGTATACCCTCCTCATAAATAAATAGTAATAATACATTTTGGGAGGTTTTTTATTAGGAAAAAAATATTTTTATAAATAATATAAATAATGAAAATGATAATAAATGATGAAAATGATATATAAAAAGAAATTCATGTGTATATATGTATGTATGCATATAATATATATAATCTGTGTTATAATTCAACTTTTCCACGATAAATATAATTCTCGTTATTTAATTGACAAGTCCAAAATAAAACTCTTCTAATACCACTATCAATTTCTAATCTATTAGAGTCCCCACAAGTTTCATTATTAATATTATAATGGCATTTCCTTGTTTCAACAGATTTTATCATCGATTCACCAAGAAACCGAACAGGTACACCTTTAGCCTCTCTTTTAATTATTTCTCCATGTTTCAACGTAGCAATTTCTATCAAATTTTTCTCAAATGCTACAACTAACACGTCATCTTTTGTTGGCAATATGCAGACATTATCCGGTGGATTACTCCATTTAATTGTTCTATTGTATTGATAAAGTTCTGCTTTAATGTTTACTATGTGTGATTGGTTTGAAATTGTACATAAAAACAAATTATCTGGTTTTTCAGGTTCATTTGATTTAATTTTTTCATACTGATGATCATTATTGTTGCGAGGTGGCGATGTGGATTCTGTTGATGAACTGTCATCAGTTTTTGTAAATAAAGATGAATCTCCATCATTTACTAAATACAAATTATTGCTATTAATGTTATTATTATTGAAGTTATAGATACCATTATTATGAATATTATTATTAGTGTGATAAAGGTTACTATTAAAATTAATATCATCATTGATGTTATTATTATTGAAATTATAAATGTTATTATTGAAATTATAAATGTTATTATAATTATTATTGTTATTATTATTATTATCATAATTATTATTATTGTTATTGCTATTATTATTATAGTCTCTGTGGTAATAATCATCAGTAAAATCAATGGTTTCTGAAAATCTTGTGGAATATCCATGGTTTGAGTAAATTTGCAAAGGCCCCACATGATTTGAAAGTTGTAAATGCTGGACATTTTGCGAAGGTGATGGATTGTATGATTGGGTTTCTGACTGATTATTGGGTTCAATTGAATTACTGTCACTACAGCTGGATTCAACGGTAATTTGATTACTTGTGTTGATTTGATCTGTATTAATTGTAGTAGTATCAGAACTAATCATAACATTATTTGGTGGTGGTTGGGAACTAAGAACATCATTAGTTGGTGGTTGTTCATTAATAATCGCATTAATTATTGGTGGTTGTTCGTTACTAATCGCATCAATTATTGGTGACTGTTCATTAATAGTTGCATTATTTGACGGTGGTTGTTCATTAATAGTAGTAATAATATTTGACTTTTGATCATTAATAATAACAATGTTTGATGGCGGTAATTGTTCATTAATAATTGGTGATTGCTTTTGATTAATGATAGCATTAATTGATGGCGGTTGCTCGTTAACAATTACATTGCTAGGTGGCGGTTGCTCATTAACAATTACATTGCTAGATGGCGGTTGCTCATCAACAATTACATTGCTAGGTGGCGGTTGCTCATCAACAATTACATTGCTAGGTGGCGGTTGCTCATTAACAATTACATTGCTAGGTGGCGGTTGTTCATTAACAATTACATTGCTAGGTGGTGGTTGTTCATTAACAATTACATTGCTAGGTGGCGGTTGTTCATTAACAATTACATTGCTAGGTGGCGGTTGTTCATTAATATTAGTAGTAGAGTTTAACGGTTGAGCATTAATAATAGCATTATTTAATGGTGGTGGCTGTTCATTAATAATAGAGTTGTTTGATTGTGGTAGCTGTTGTTCATTAATATTAACATTAATCGTTAGATCTTTAATAATTTCATTCGTTGGTGGCGGCTGTTCGTTAATAGTGGTATTCATGTTTTGAGCGTTAATGTTATTTGGTGGTAGTTGCTGTTCATTAACAATTGTAGTAAAATTTAACGGTTGAACATAAGTAGTTGGTTGAGTATCATAAATAGTTATTGATTCAGTATTAGTTCTGGTAGCTGATTGGCTATCATTATTATTTACAAAATCATTGTTATTGTTAATAATACCATCGCTATTACTATTATTATCGTTATTTTTATTATTTCCGTCACTATTATTTCTGCTACCATTATTAATTTCATCTAAATCATTAAAAATCGGCTTCACAGTTAATCGTGTTGACCTACGATTTAAACGCTTATCATTATTGTTATTAACTCCTGATTCACAAGGATCTTTTTGTAAAGAATATCTTTTAGTCCTATTGTTGGTTGATCTGCGCAAAAGAAAATTTGTTTTTTCTTTTGGACTTGTTGGAGGAGAAACAAGTTTATTAAGAACATTATCGGTATTATCATCGGTAGTAATAGTATTGGCAGTGATTGTTGTATTAATATCATTAATGCCGTCAATGTCGGATGATAATTTTAATGGCTGTGGTTGAGGTGGATGAGGAAAAGAAAATGATTCTTGCATTTGTTCTGGCATAGGTGGAGGAGGAGGAGGAAGAGGAAATGAAAAAAGTAATTCATTTGTTTGTAGTGATGATAATTGTCGTTTTTGAAAAGTTGTTGGTTCAAATTGAGTATTTGGCGGTGGTAGTGGTGGTAGCGGTTGTTGCATTGGCAAAGCTGGTTGAAATGTTTGATCTTTTGGTGGTGGTGGTGGTGGCAGTAATGATGGTTGGAATGGTGGTTGGAATGGTGGTTGGAATAGCGGTTGTGGTTGTGGTTGTAAAACTTGTGATGATGATAAAGGTATAACCTTTGGTTCAGTTTTTTTGATGGGTGTTTTTATCAAGAATTCTAAATCAAAGGTATTTGGTATTGGAATGAAGCTTAGCCATTTTGGATTTTCTTCGTGACGAGGAATAAGATTTTTTTTCATATAAATTTCAGTCACTTCTGAAGTATGAGCATCGATCATTATAGCTTTGCTGCAATTAGTCCCGACTATGATATGTTTAATTAGATACATGCCAGTCAACACATTGATGAAACAAGGTGTTTCTGGAATATAATAATTTTGAGTATGTACGAATTTTATATCTAATGGATTATTATCTTTATTATTTTCTAATGAATATTCAAATAAATAAATCACATGATTTGATGATAACACAGCCAAGTAAAGATAGCTTTTTGTTTCTTTGACATCAAAAGTCATACAATCTTTTGAGATTTCAGTCAATTTAGTGTAATCAGATGCCCATTGGAAAACCTTTAATTTTTCCTCACTACTGATATCAGCCTTCTCCAAAGAATTTGATAACTGTTGTTGGATGAAGTCGGTTAAATGAGAAGAAAAATTTTTTGATAAAGATTTTTGATGAAATTTTCCGGTTGTGGTGTTTGATTGATTAGATGTTGAGGATGAGGGGAAAGTAGCAGTGGTGGTGGAGGTAGTGGAAGGAATAAGAGGCAGGTCTTGAGATTTAGAACCTTTTTTATGTGACAATAATGAAGAAGGTTGTTGTTGTTGCTGCTTTCGACAATTGTCACATTTTTTTTTAGTCTCTTTATCATTGACTGATACAAGACTTCCACCACCTTCGTCAGCATTTTTACTACATTGTTCACATTTTACGCCAGAATCTGTGAATTTTTTTAAAAAAGCCGGAGCTTTTGAGAAATCCACAGAAACTTGAGGTTTAGAATTAAGGACAAACTTGATTAGATGTAGTAAAGATGATGAACGATATATTCTGATTTTTTGTGATTTTCCAGCTATTGCAATCATTATACCATAATCGTTTAACATTTGTAATTTTTTAAATGGAATTCCACGCATTATTTGAATTGGTTTCATCACTTCATAACGAACAGAGAAATCCATAAAAGATAAACCCTCATCATTTCCGATCAATAAATATTGCTTTCCTAACATGGCAGCACAATTGTATGATTCAGCGTGTCGAATATTTGGTGAACCTAACAGTTTAACTTCTAGTTCGCCTTGACCAACTGACGGGACGTCACGTATTTCTCTTTTCACAACTGTGTGTGAACGTATTAAATCATTTGCTGTGTTCTGGAAAATAAAAATAAGTTTTCATCGATTAAAATTATTATTAATTATATATACATGTATATATATTCACACAAACCTTTTTATTTTTTATCATTGAATAAGATCTATGGTTATTTGCAAGATCTTTTTCTTGTTTTGTATTGAATGGAGAATTGAGTACATTCTCACTTTCATTTAAAAGAGTTTCGATTATTCGTTTTCCTATTCCGTTATTTGTACTTGGTAAAGGCAAGTTAAAAAGCTGTTCGTTAGGAACATTTCTTGCGAATAAGGAAGAAAATCTTTTGTTGGTGGTATTATTAATGCCAGCATTATTAATAATGTTTACAGCATTAACGCTAGAAACGTTAGTGTTAACGTTAACATTAGTGAGGTCAATAGTATTGTTATTTGTAATAAGATTATTGTTATTAGTGTTGTTATTCGTGATAATGCTATTTTTGTTAGTATTATTATTTGGAATATTTGAGGAAGGAAATGGTTCAGAATGCATTTTTTTAAAAAACTGGATTGAAAGAAAAATTATTTAATTTTAAAAATGGAAGATTCTAATTGGTTATTTTATTATCATTGTTTGCTACCATTATTTACCCATTTTTCTATTAATAAAAATAGTTAGGTGATTATTTTTTTAGTAGATCAATCTTTTTTTGAAATTATATTTTTGGGAATTTTACAAATTCCAAATAAAAAGTAAAGAGTTCGATAGCCCTCCCCCCTAAATATTGATATATATGTATATAGAACAATAATATTTAATATGTAAAATACTAAATATAAAGTACTAATATTAAACCCTAATTACGCGTAATTTAGCGAATTTTCGAATTTAATTTGCGTAAAACAGGTAATTATTTTTTATATGATTGATAATAATAATTTACAATAATTCACAAAATATAAATATAAATATAAATAATAATAGTAATAACAACAGAAAGATGAGAAAGAAGGAAAAGGAATTCTGATTAATAAAAAATCATAAAAATAATATTCGTGTTAGTGGTGGTAAAAACAAAAATACAGGTAACCTAGCTTCTCAACGCAGATATTTTACAAAAGAAGAAGAGTTAAAATTATTCGAAGCTGTTGAAATTCATGGATACGGAAAATTAGAAATCATTCGGGTAACGTTAGAACATGTAAAGCTTATAAAGATCATTGGCGATGGTAGTAGAATGCGGTTGTTGGATGATGGCGGTGAGATGTAAGAAGAAGATTATAATAATATTTATTTCCGATATTTTAACACTATTAAATAATAATTATTATTATAAAAAAATAATGAAATATAATCCACACATTATTAAGTTTATAAAAATCCTAATACAAATTTGATTTTTCTCATTATAAATATTCGCTAAATTTTGAAATAAACCTGCACTTGGTGCTAAAGTTTCTTTTAAAGCATTTCTTTCGTTATCATTATTACTACTAATATTTAAAGTGATTGTGATTCCTGGGTATTCTAAAGTCATTGGAAAGGATTTAAAAGATGAAACTGGCAGTGGAATTTCCGTTGTAATGAAATTAGAATATTCACTTGATGGAAACATTGACAATTTTCCAAGCGTTTCTTTCGTTATCGGAACAAAATTTGTTGTCATTGATGTTATTGTTGGTGTTGTTGGTAGAGAAATTCTTGAAATTGTTGAATCTCTGAAATTGACTGCCATTGGTGACGACGACGACGTTGTCGTTTCCGTTTCCGTTTCTTGAGAATCAGAAATATTCAAGACTATCAGAATTATTATTATTAAATGGTTTATTATTGAAAATTTTTTCATTTTTTTTTTATTCTTCGAAAAGTTTTTATGAAAATCAGAATAATAAATAATTTTAAGGTGATAATGTCCGTCCATTAAAATTATTTTCTTTATGTTAACAACTGTCCCTATAAGGCTTTATTAATATTAATAAATATACACTTCTCCGTTATCACTTAAAAACCCGCATAATCATTATACATAAAATCTATATCATTATGTAGCCTAGTTTTGATAAATAGGTATGTCAACTTTAGCCATATACTTTTGGTAAATAATATATTTAAATCAGTTGCAACAAAATCAGGAATAAGAGACTTGAGAATAATAATTTCTGCAAACTCATTTTTGCTGGTAAGAATGCAAGTTATTGGTTATTTTGTTGGCACTTTTTACTGGGGCTTGGTGGTCAATGAACTTTAGTAGTATAAAATTCCTTCAATTAAAGCATCCTTTTAGTATTGCCATGGACGCTTGATATAAGACAATCATTTATTAGGTGATTTCTAATGTTTCAAATAGACTTATCAAAACCCAGCATATTAGGATAAGTTATTTTGACAAAGAAACATGGCAGGTAAAGGGCTTATTATTATTTTTTGATTGGATTGTAACTATTATTGTTATTATTATTATTATTATTATTAGTTGAATTAAATTAATGGATTTAAAATGACTGACAATTGGAAGAAAGTTTTTTAAGATATCACATGAAAAACGGGGTTTTTAATGATAAGAACAAATATATCAAAATTTAATTTTCATTTCGTCACTCCTATTACTTACTATTGCTTAAAAATTTCGACGATTTATAATTCAAATAATCAAGGAAATATTTATAAAGACAATGTTTTATTGGCCGTCCATTATTCGTAATAACAATTTCTATTCTCCTTGATCAACAACACTCAAAAGTTTGGGACTCCACTCTTTTGACCCCGCCTCTTTTTGGAAACCTTTATCATTCTAACTATAGTAGTCCTAGTAAAGCCAATTGCTTTGGAAATACATGAAATCGTGAATCCACTTTATAAAGTCCACTGCACGTATAGATTCTTTTAAACTATTTAAATTTTAGTAAAAAATAATTTAATCAATCATGCCAAATCACATGACTGATGCCATTTACTATTAATATAGTTGCATGTCATGTGAAACGCGATCCATCACAAAATTCTTAGTAAGGAGTTTTCTTATTAATTTAGCTTTTTATGATATCTTGCAAGTATTAAATGGGATCATAATAGTTAATATTTAATTAATTGAATTGTAAATTATCAATATTATCCCCAATACCATATTTTGTTGAAGGTAAATGAATGATAAAGTAAAAGTCATTTAGAAAATAACGTGATGAAATAATTCATCTAGGTGCTGTTTATTACCAGCAGGCTATCAAGTTTTACAAACCTATTAATTCATATAATTCAGCAGTTGGTCGTGCATTTGTATTGACGTCAAACTCCAAAACTATATATGTCAGATGCCTTTGTATATTAATATGATTTACCGATTAACACTTCCAGTGCAATATATGATACACTCCATTTTTATTGGATAGTGATTTTTGATCTACTGGTATGATGATCTGAAATATATGAACATTAAACCATCAATGATGTAAATGAGAGTATTCTATTTATCTCTCCATTACCATTGTAATTTTTTCGTTAAAAATCATAAAGAGTTTCATACGGTAGATATCGCATTACAATATATATTCTTTTGTAACTGGAACTCAATTTTAATTATACATGATTTTTAATGATAAAAATAAAAATTTAATTATTATTGGTGAGTCAAAATTTTTCTGTGCAACCTATCGCCAAGGTTCCTTCTTCTATATTTACCCAAGTAGCTTTGTAGTTGTGATTAAAAAAAAGCGTACAATGCGAAATTGTTTGTTTTTGATATCTATTCATTAAAAAGAAATACATAAAAGAACAAACATAGTCCTTCTTGAACATTAAATGTGACAAATGATCGTCTATCTAAAGTTACACTGGTTTGTCTGGCAAAGTTATTCACTGTTTCAAGGAACACACAATGTATGTCAATTTCACAGCCTACTGTTTGGCGATACGTTACAAAAGTTCTGTGGTTATTGAAATTCTCAAATGTTGAACATTCGTCACATTGGAACCCGGGTATCATGGACACAAGCTCATTTTGAATGATAATTAGAGCCGTACAATCTTTACAGATTGACCTTTCTCGTAACAAAATTCGCAGACGACATAAATATGGACAAACACCATTTTACAAGTTAGCAAAATCGCGGCACAAAGGAATGGCCGGGGAAGGATTTCATTGAAAGGCAAAATGCCGTTATTTTGTTTTAATGATTGATATCATGGACGGGTCTTGTTATCATATCGCAGACCCAGCTTTTGCCTGCCCGCTACAACGAAGGTTGCAACGGTCAATGATCCGAAGCACACATAATTTGTTGCAAAAGATTTCACTGCTGAAAATAGGACTGGTGCGTGTTTGACTGGTCATCATCATTCAACAGTCCAGATCTTTAATTCGATAGAAAACATGTGGTACATTATGAAGAATGGTGTTGAAAAAAAAGACGCCTAAAAATGATGGTTGAAAAATTTTCTCAAGATATTTAGAATTTCTAATAAAATAATTCAAGAAGCTTTCAAATGAATCCATATTTGTTTATTAATTATGTTGTGTAATGAATATGAGTCATGGTGACCACCATTTTTTGAATCACACCGTACAGAAACTCTAACACTTTATGCATTCATGATGTCTCCATCAATCTGACTATTATGCGGTCACGCGGTCATGCGGTCAGTCACTTTACAGTGTTAGCATGAATAATTAAAGAGAGATTAAAAATAAAAACAACGTTGAAAATCAATCCTTCCTTTAAAAGAGTGAATGCAAATGTAAGGAAGGTCCTTCACTACAAAAATTTCCACGAGATGTCAATAGTTTCGAAAATTTTTTGCTGGACACACAGTCATATATTTACATGTTACAATAAGATGCAAAGTTTTTCATATTGTCTCAGTGATTGGAGAATTTTATGATTTTTTTAACATGATAGTGGGAAATTTTCATCGTTGGTATATGACGATGATCTTAAAAGCGCTAAGAAAATTTAGTCTTAATGATTTCCACTTGTATGGATTGGTAGCCTTCATCTTTTACATCAGGCGTAAAATAATCATCCTTCACTCAACAAATCGTTCCTTTAGGAACTAAAAATTCCAAAGGCGAAAAAACCAATAGTAGTATCACATTCACAATCACATTATGCAGCATAGATTTATATGTAATTTGTGGCGTTTTGAAATTGAGTTTTTTATATTGAGTGCATACCCTAAAATAACACCTTTTAATTAATTTTATGCAATGACATCAGGAAGATAAAAACTGATTAATTAATATTAAAAAAAAAAAAAAAAAAAAACAAATTTTGACGGAAAAATTGGATGTTAATCTTTATAAAATAAAAACGGATTTACCAAACTTGGAACATTAATATAAATTTCTTTTTAATTTCCAGGTTATTCCGATTGAATATTTTAAAGTTTAATATTAAATACTGATATTAATGAAATTTAAGTTAATAATTGCCACCTTTTTTCTTTTTCATAAACCTGCCCGCATCCATTTATTCATTCCTTATTCAATTAGTTAGAATAAATTAAATTCATATGATAAATAAATAAATTGATGATATTTTTTTTGAAATTAAAACAAGTTTAAATCCCTTTTTGTTTACAGACTTGTGAAAATTACAGTGATAAACAAAGAATATGAATATTTGTTTATTTGATCTACATTAGTTTATTAATTTAATCGTTTGTTTATTGTTGTCGTTATCTGTATGGAGGATGAGGGGTTTTAAAGTAATGGGGCTGGAAAATTGCGGGGTTATATTCTAAGTTGTAAAAATCAAAAAATCATGGTATCTTTTCATAATTTTTTATACAATCCACCTTCTATTTCCTGCTAGCTTCTTTGTAAGATCAGATCAATTAGTATTCATTCAAAATGAAAATATTGTTAATGTGCACATTTTTGTATGCGAATAGATAGAACGTAAGATATGTGTATGTGTGTGTGTGTGTGTGTGTGGATAGATGTGTGTGTCTGTGTGTTGTGTGAATAGGAAGTAGTAGGCATGATGAGGGTAATTTGTGTTACTGATTATTATGATTGTTATTAAAATATTACTACTATTTATGATTTATTTGCAAAGAAAAGCAATAAAGAAAAATGATGATGATGGGTAACAACAATACGATGATGACAATTTGAATTCATAGATTTGCTATTTACAGTTTATTTTTTACATTTACAATAGAATTCAATTTTGTCATTATATCATAACCAACATCCGTTAGCATTATCATGAGCATCATCATTATTCATACCTCTACACTATTCTATTAATATAATGCTCAGGGTTTATTTGTTTAAAAAACATAATAAAAACATAATAAACATAATAATGTTGACAAAATTGGCATTATTAGTATGCTATTTCTTTGTTTACATGTAAACAATAATAATAAATATTATTATTATCATTTTCTGTACTTTAAATTTCCCTGCTTTTTCCAAACTTGGTAATTACCTGGAAAAGTCATAAATTTATGATTATTATTATTTTTTACATTCTTCAAACAATATTCTCATTTATTATTATAATTACAAACAAAGTAAATTTAGTCATACATAATGTGTAATAAATAGTATGTAATGAATGTGCATGGTCAAATACGCAAAAATAGATAATGTAAATGTATGAATATGTGTGTATAACATGATTTACAATTTTTATTATTATCAATTAATTGTGTGGGAATATTTACCATTAGTCGATTAGCTATGTAAATGAGAATGAATGCATCTTTTTTAAATATCTCGTTTTTTTTTTTAAAAAAAATAATTTTCAAATTATTATTTTTTTTTTTATTACCCGAAGACTGCAAAAAAAACCTGTTTTAAAAATTTATTTAATAATTAGGGAGAAAATTTATCTAAATAACAATTAGTAATAATCAGTAAATTATAAGAGCAGCAGAACTTACGCAACCACTTCTTACAATGCGTGTATACCCCGCAAAGAGTGTATGGATAAATATATCCATCATTTCTTCGAGTTTTATTACCAAGTTAACTAATTTCTATATTTAGAACTCTTTATCATCGTGCATAAAATCTTGTGGCAAAGTAAAATATGTCACACACGCAAACTAAACTTAAAATATTTACCAAAAAAAGAATATATTTATCTCCAATTTTTGTTTTTTAAAATAAATAAATGTTTATTTGTCAAACATCATCATATGAAAACCAAGCGCGCTTTTTATAAATCGCAAAGCCGGAAAAGGCCAAACTAAAGTAATACTCCGTAAATATACTAGACACGGTGATTATAACACGTAAAAATTGTTTGATTGGTGAATTGGTGTTGGTTGGCACATTAGTAATTTTTGTTGATTGAATTGATTGAATTGATTGAAACTGATGATGATGGTGATGATGATTTTTAATTACGTGGCTGCTTTAATCGAATTGATGTTAATTGGTTTATTTTATATTGAGCGAGATATTGAAATTGTAAAGAAAATCTTTCCCAAATAATTGATGATGATGATTCATATATGATAATATACTTTTTAATATTTTCATATGATGATTCAATTAACAACATCAATCAAAATTTTTTTAAAAAAATAATATTCGTCATTACTTTTCACCATTCATCCATCATCCATCTTCCATCTTCTCTCTCTATATATCTATCTTCTTCTTTTTCAACCTCCAGCCCTTCATTCATTCTCATTCATTCATCAATCAACATTTCATTCATCCAACATTTTCATTCACAATTTGAGCTGTGATTTGTCCAAGAATCTAGTGGATGGTTGAAAAGGCGGTAAACAAGTGTTTGACACTCTTCTCTTTTTCGTTTCTTGTATTACAAAAAGTTTCAATTCTACGACTTTTTTTAGAAATTTTTATTTTTTTTGATTGTTAAAATAACTAACTATATATAAATTTATCAGCTGATTGTTGCACAATATAAATTAGGTTTGTTTTGTTTTGTTTATGTTTGCTTTTCCCTGGTTGCTTTACTTGATTTTCTACTTATGAGGTTAACAAGTGAACTATTGCACATAATAAAGTGTTACATTGCGCGGAGCAATCAACAAAATAATAATATGATGATGATCCTAAGAGAGAGCAATTAAAAATAAAATAAATAAAAAAAAAATCAAATTAACTGTTAATAATCAAAAATAATAATAAATAATAAGGGCTTTTTTTTTTCCAATTAATGTGAATGTGTTGATTGTCATCTGAAAGTATAAAAAACAAACGTTTCGAAATATTAGTTAGTGTTATTATTATTATTATTATATAGATTATATAATATATAAATTGGTAAATCAACTTACAGCAGCAAGTAATCTCTCTTCATTTTTTATTTTGCTCCTTTACATTTTTATTATCATCATCAGTAAATTACAGTTGTGATTATTATTATCTACTTTATCTGCTTCTCCTCAAAACTAATTTGTTATTAATTAATATATATTGGACGTGTGATTATTGGGGAAAAGGAAATCAGTAATAATAATCAGTAAAATCAGTAAAAAGATACTAAAAAAAAAAAATGTTTATCACGTTTCACTAGTATAATAATGGCGTTACTTCAAGATCAATTGAATAATTACTGCATAAATTATAAATTCCGGTTTATATATTGTTGGATAAACTAATATATACATTAATATATATATATATATATATCTATATATATATAAATATATAATATAAACTAATATATTATAAACTAATGTATAATATATAAATAAAATATCTTTAATTATCCCAATCGTCGTATATTTAAAGAGGGATTGAATCAAAGTTTGAGAAAATAAAAAATCAAATATTTTTTTAAAAAAAAAAAAAATATTTATTAATTAAAAAAAAAATATAATAATTTCGTTAAAATTTTTCTTTTCAAAAAAAAAAAAAAAAAAACACTTATAAATACTCTCAACTTTTTTTTTAATTACAAAAAAAAAAAAATTATAAAAAATTATAAAAATGGTTGCACCAACAAAAACACTCCAAGTTGAAATAAAACCATTCAATCAAGTTCTCGATGTAATAAAACAATTAACTTACGACCCGCTCTTCAAATCAGAGGATGTAATTTACTTGTCCGTATCAACCACATCACCAAAAGTAACAATAGAAATAGCATCAATAGCCGCAATCATTCAATTCTCTTGTGATTTAGTCGTATCAAACATCGTATACGATGTATCATTGAACTTCTCCTCCGTCAAGCTTCCGTTCACATGGCCACTAAAAAAAACAATTCGTGACGTTCTTTTTGCTAAACATGATAACCCAATAGCTATCGAATTGGTTAGTAAGGATTGTCGTTTGACCGTCTTTAGAAAAAATGATCATAATTGTCGTGATGATTGGTACGATCATGTAAAAAATTGGAGAACAGATATGCCAAATCGTTTTCATTTGATGTTGAGCGAATTGGTGGAAAATGTTTCCGCTCATGCTAAATTGGAAGCATCGAGATTCTGTTTCACCGCTGGTTTATATTTCGCCAATAAAAAGGTACGAGCCAATTTTTTTATATATTAGTTGTTTGATAATTACGTGTTATATATATAATATATATATATACTTATATATAATGATTATACTTTTTCCAATAATAGCTTTATTATTGCATAGCAGATTCAGGTGTTGGACTTCGTGGTTCACTTCGTGAAGCAATAGTTACCGATGCAAAAAATGTTGCAGCTCGTGCATGTGCCTTAAATTTAACAAGACCGCAATTCACATCAAAAGGTATCGAAAGAGGTCATCAAGGCGTCGGTTTGTTTATTACTAGTGATTTGGCTCAAATGAATAAAGGTTATCTTGAAATTCTCTCCGGTAAACAAGAATACGAACAAAGAGGTAATTTTTTTGATGTGATTATAATAGAAATGCGTGGTATATATATAAATAAATAACCATATGCTAACAATGATGAATAATATACATCTCACACACAGATACAACAGTGATGCGTATGCGTGGTATGGCAGAATGGAAAGGAACAATGGTACATGGTGCAATCAATCTCGACCAAGGTTTTAATTATCGGGAAGCAATGAAACGTTTTGAAAATCCATCAAAACTCCAAAATGATCGATTTTTTGTTTGTAATGTACATTTGAACGTCTACGGTCAACGAACTTTGAGAACCAGAGAACTTTGCGAAGAGATTATCCGAGATTTAGAATTGGCCGCCCAACGATCACCAAAAATCATTTTAGACTTTACCGAGATCGATGAAATTAGTCAAGCTTTCCGTGGTTTCCTACGACAATTCGTCGTCAATCATTCAAAAGTAAAACTCATGATCATGGTGCCATCTGACGCCGACGAAGAATTAAAAGAAGATTTACAAGAGTTGATAGAATTAGCAACTCAAAATAATGTTGAAGATGAGGATGAATAAATAAATAAATAAATAGTTTATTAAATCTTATTTATTATAATAATAATATATAATAATTATATAATTTTTTTTTTTAATTAATAAATTTACTAATTATCTCTCCATACCCATACTCATACATATTTATTTTTATATATGCATACATTTCAATCATTTTTTCCATAAAAAAATTTTAAAAATATAAAATCATTTATTCATTTTATTTAGAATTTTTTTAAAAATAAAAATTTCTTTTTTTTCTCATATCATTTTTTTTTATAAATATATAAATATAAATATTTTATAATTATTATAGATTAGTTTTATTTTTTATTTTTTTATTTCATATTAAAAATTTTTTTTTATAATTAGATTTTTTTTTCTCTCGAGGAGTAAATAAACAAAAATAAAAATGTATTATATAATATAAAATAAGTTTATCAAGTTTTATATTTTATCTTTTGGCCCGATTAATATCCAAAAAACATCACTCTCAAACTTGATGTCTTGTTTTTTTCCGAGTTACCTATTATTAGCTATATGATTTTCTCGGTGGCTCAATAGAACCTTATCTTCTTTGCTTACAATCAGAATTTCATAAATAAAAAATTGAACCTATATTTAAATATGGCGGATGATTGTAAAAATTAGACTTATTTTTTTGAACTAAAAAAATTAATCAATAGTGTTTTTTAACTTAATTTGCATCTTCATCGTCAACTGCAAGATGAATCGGATGAATTTGTAGTGGGTGAGAGATAATTGCAGATCAAGGGTAGCAGTCAAAGTGGATTTATGGTCTTTGACTCGACTTTTCAATTTTTTTCACTCCATCTTTACAGCTAGCTAGCTTGTATTTAAAACATGGAGTTAAATGATATTATTGAAATAGCAGGATAAAAACTCGCCTGAAAGAAAAATCAGAACATGAATCGTTATTCTAATTAGTAATGAGTTCCATTTAAAACAAGAAAGAAATTTATTCAACTTTTGTTAACTTTATTATTTATTTTTTGTGATGAAAAATGTTTTATCATAAATATTACATATTATTACTATTATTATTATATTAATATGTTAAGTATTATCGAATGAATTATTTTCTATAATTACTACTATATTTATTTATTCTTATCTTAATAATATTCCCTTAAAAAGTTATAGTAATATCACCATTTGTAGTTTGCACATTCAAATTACTAGCTCCTTTACCAACACTGCCAGCTTTCTTATTTGTTCCATCAGATGTCTTCACATCTCCATTAGAAGTCGAAAGACTATAAGTACCAGAAAATGTCGAACCCTATATTATATAAATAAAGAATTAATTAATTAACTGGTAAATAATGCTTTTGCTTGACACAAAATTATATAAACAAAATTATATTCCAATAATCATCATATTACTTACAAAGTCAAAAGTAACATCACCATTACTACTAGTAGCACTAATAGTTGGTTGTTGAGCAGTTTTAATATTAACACCCATAGTAATATCTCCATTAGTAGTGCTAGCACTCAAACTACTCTCCAAATTCATCAATTTACTAACAGAAATGTCTCCATTAGTAGATTCAAAAGTGGCACTTGCCGCATTCAAATTGTTCGATTTAATATCTCCATTCGCGCTTTTCAATTTGATTGCATTGGCCGACAAGTCTTGTATATATATGTCACCGTTAAAAGTGGAGGTTCTGAATTCGGTCGTATAGGGTACCGGATGACCTGCTACTATGATATCGTAATTGTCGGTTTCTACAGCGGTGGCTTTACTAAGAACTTGTGGCAAGATCACCTCGACTTGTGATATGACACATCGACCTGGCACTGACAAATAAGTGGTCCAACCCCATTTATCATCGAAAGCAGATCGTATCTTTTTTTTTAGGAGGAAAAAAAAAAATTTGAAAAGTGAGTGGAGAACGTCATAAGTTGGAAATGGGATATATATAGAGGATTTTCAAATTATGTAAAAATAAACTTACAATTGATAATACATAAGTGTCACTAGATTCTGGTGCAGCGTTTATAGAAGCATCTTCAGGTTTTGTGGATGCAATACGAACGTTTACCGTGGCATTTGTTACAGCAGTAGTATTACTTTGTGTAATAGTTATAGCACTTTTCTAAATAAATAATGTATGCATGTATTGCATGTTAATATTGTCTTATATTCACCAATTAATTATACCGACATACACCCGTTTTTATTACTACTAGACTTACCAGAGTGATAAGATTTTTATGTGAATCCACTTTAAAAGTGCTATAAACACTTGGATCGTAGGTAAAGGTGTTAACTGACGCAGTATCGATCTTACCATTAAGAGCATTACATGCACTAACATTAACAGCTGCAACAATCTATAAAAAACATAAATTTTATTATTATTATGTAAATGATGATAATACAATATATATATATATATACACATATACTTACAGCCAAGGAGATTATTATTGATAAAAATATACAACAGAAAATACCACAGCACCAACAAAAACATACTGGAATAAAGCAACAACAACATTTCCTTTCTATATAATTACACGTGAATTGTCACGTGGCATACAATTTCGAATTAGATAAAACAATAATAATAATAAAAATAATAATATTATTATAATAATAACGCCACAACTTACTTTTATAATCCTTCTTAAAAGCTCCTCGAGTACCTTCAACAACATTAAATCTAGATTTATTATTAAAAGCACTTTCTTCATTTTCTATCTTGTTGTTGGTATAGTTGTTGTTATTGTGTTCATTATTATCAAATGGTGGTGAACTTGATTGTTCTGTATGTTTCTTTTCGGAGCTCATCTTAAATTAATTGTTTGTTTGATTAATTAATTACTGGTTATTACGAACTAATTAATTTACAAATAGTAAATGTTGATATTATTAACAATTGGAGAATTCAAAAATTCAATTGAAAAAAAATTTTAATCGAATTCTAAAGAAAAAAAAAAAAGTTTTAAGGTTTGGAATTCTTCTTTTATACCATTTTTTTTTTTTTTTTTAAACTGTAATTGTTGAATTATTATTGTTGTAATGGTAGGTCCATAATTCATAAATTGGAATGTTTGTGTTTGTGTCTCATCTAAATTTGGTTGGCACTAGTAAATTTAGTAAATTAAGTAAATTAGCTTTTGTATCAGCATGTATGAAATTTAATTGGCGGAATCGCGGGGGTTTTCTAGAAAAGGAGTGGCATAATACCAATGTCATATGATTAATTAATTACTTCCCATAGAAAAAAGTTGGTTTTCTAGTAAATATTAACAATATATGATAGATTTCTTGGTAAGTTCCTCAAGAAATTGTCAAATTAGAATATCATTACTATTTCCAGCCTTGCCTAGCAATTGTGTGTAGCAAAATTATTTGTTTACCTGAAAATGAAATTCTATTTTTATATATTTTATTTTATTTCGTGAATGGAATGTTAACGTCAAACAATTAATTTTCTTGATAAAATCACCATATTACTATTCATTGATAATATCGTTTTTCTCGACAGTATGGTTCTCTTGGATAGAACCAGTCAGTTTTCGCTAATAAATCGTTTCTCATTCATTAGTTAATATTAATATTATTATGTATAAAAGAATTTGAAATTCATTTGTATACTTTTAAAAATTAAAACTAATATGGCCTGAGAACAAGTTTCGATTACTCCGTTCTCACCCGCTTCCATTTTGGTGATTTCCATGTTTTTTAAAATTTTCTTGGCAACCAAGAAAATACAAATAAATATTTATTTTTAGAAATTCATTTTGTTAATTGGATTGTGTGGATTTAGATCCGGAAGTTAAATACACGGAATTGATTTGCTTTAGAGGTAGAGAAGAAGAATGTGCTACCGTCCACAAAATTTTTACATTGGTAATATGAAAAATATTCCTAAACTTGTTGGCAATTTGTTGATTTAAAGGTAGTGAGTGAGTAATGTTCTAGGACCGGGCTTCAGACAGGTCCTTGAACTTTTTTAAAAATATTACATATGTAAAGGTAATTTTGTAGAATTAGGATGCATAAGCATGTTTTACGTTGTGAAAATGGCTTACAGCAATATGCGCGATTGTATATAATATTAATATTATAAATTTTTTTTTACAAATTATTTATCATCATTATATATATATATATAATATGTTATACTCCTTTTAGTATAAAAGATAATGACGCGAACACTGTTCATTTGCTATTTGCATAAGTGCGACTATGATGTATTCTTAATCCATTACACAAAAATTATTGGCGAACCTTTGTAAAACAATGGAAAATTCTATACAAAATAAAGTTTCACAATTTTTGTGTGATGTATCATATGGAGGGTTTGTAAACCATCTAAAAAAAACTTTGTCGATTACATCCTTATTTAATATATTTGTTTAATAACTTTAATTTGTGATTCGCGCAAATAGAAGTGCGTACCCATAATAATAATAATAATAATTACAACGTCTCAATATTTTTTAATCATTGAAAAATATTACTCAAAATGCTAAACTTTTATGGCAATATTTTAAAATATGCTAATATTTATTTAATTCAAAGTTCAAACTCAATTTTTCTACATGTGAGCTATTTATTTCTGATTTTTTTAGATATAAATATACCAGTATAATATTCGTTTCTCCAAGATGGCATATATAAGGTATATTAGCAGAAGAAAAAATACCTGTCAAAGCATTAATTAACAATACAATCATTAGCAATAGTTTGATCAGCAAGCTCTTGGAATACAATACAATAAAGCTTCTGATTATGTCAAAAAAGACTTGAAAGATGTAAATTGTTTAGTCTTACTCCGAAACCATAAAAGAAAATATTGGGCATCAAAGCAATTGACCTTGAGATCATTTAATTATCCGAACATGCAACCTACATAATAATAATAAAAAGATAACATTCATTGTATATATGAAAAGAGCATTCCGATTATTTGTAAAATATATACCAATTCAACTCCCGAATTTTATTTTTTGGTTAAAAATAAGAAGAACTTCAATGTAAAAAAGAGAGTATGAATTTCCATATATTTTAATTGATCTGGATAAAAAAATGGCTGTGTGTCATATGATTAGATGTTCAAAAAGTTTAATTGGAACCATTGACTATGAAATCGTCAAGTCAATCACACCTCTCAAACCTTATACAGTTCACTTTCTCTATATAGCAGACCATTTGGCCTTGGAAGAATGTCTGTTATAGAATTAATTATTCAATAGTTTGTGTAGGAGTGATCAAAGCAAGCATTAAGGGCAAGGTCTATGAAGCTTGCAAAATATATTAATGAACATTTTGTTAATTATTCAATAGTTTGTATAGGAGTGATCAAAAGTAAGCATTAAGGACAAGATCTATGAACAAAATATACTAACAACGTTTATTAATTATTCAATAGTTTGTATAAGATCTATAAACAAAATATTCTAACAAACGTTTTATCAATTATTCAACAGTTATATTTATTATTTATTTATGTATATAAATTTCTCTTTTATTTTAACTTATATTTAATAACATCACTATGATAAATAATTAAATGAATAAAGTCAGAGATAAAACAATTGCTCGTTCTGCATTTCCAGGTATTTCTGACAGAGAAAATAAAAAAAGTTATTTTTTACAATTAGTCAATGAAAACAAAAAGCTATTAGAAAATGAAAAAGGAATATTGTAGAGAAAGGTATGTTATAATTTCAAATTAAATAATGCAACTTATAAATTTGCTGAACCAAGAGAATGCAATAATTGTAAGATACTCTGATAAATATTGTGAAAAGTGCATTAGTCTACACTTACAGAGCTTTTTCAGTACTTGGACATCTGGAAATGAGATAATTCATGGTTTTATTCAAAAATGTCAACAGCTTTCATCTCTTCCAAATAAAATTATAGAATGGAACAATTTTATGATATAGAAAAATTAACAGAAGGTGGATTCAGTTCTATTTATACTGCTGGATGGACAAGAGGATAAAACAATTACATATACGCCATTATTCAATGCTTTTTCATGAAAAGTATTATGGAAAGAAATTGAAGATTTGGATAACTTGTTAAATGAAAACACCAAAACTCAAGACAATGAAGCATCAACTAAAAATATTCTTATCTAAATATTTTAATTGAAAGTTTTAAGCATATTGTTAATTAGAATTTTACAATTTAAAGAAAGAAAATAAATCAATTCGTTTGCTAGATGATAATGTTTCTATTCAACAAATATTCAAACAAAGTGAGATGAAAAACAAGTTATATAATAATGATTATTCAAAAAATCTTTCAACAACTAATGAATAAGTTACCAGAGGGTCTCATGACACATTAATTTTTTTTGGTAGCAAGAGATAATCAACTGGATGCATGATTTCATCCAGTAGTCTTAGTTTACCAAACTTCACATGTGGAGATATCATACTATCAATACTATTTGGCATTATGGTGCATTAAATGGATCAACAACTGAAACCTATGAAGCATTGCACAAAAATTGGGTCAAAAAATCCATATAGGATGAAATTGGATCAAATAGTATATTTTAATATTCTGTTGAATTTTTTTTTTATTTTAAATTATTAATAATTTTTTAGATTCAGTGACAAATAATTACACCTATTTCAAAAAATGTTTTTATTCCAAAATTGGAGTCTATGAAGTCTTTACTTTGGGAATTGCCAATTAGCAAAATTACAGGCTCTTTGGGAAAAACTTGAACATGAAGAAAATGTAAATTCTTTGTGTATCAAAGGCATGTGCAATTTAATTAGTTGTTTAGATGCATATTTAGATAAAAAACCAATATTTCGTGATGACATTTATTTAAAAATTTATGCAACTGGCACATTATCAAATGGTGAAATTGTGTATGCTACTAGCAGATTTCATGATAAGGCAAGATTTAGTGATGTTGCAATTGCGATGGACAATGATAATAATTTTTCTTTTTTTTTTTTTAGGATACAATTATTTATATGGAAAATGGTAAATGCAGAACAGTCATATACAATCACCCTAAATACATCATTTACGCAAAAATGTACATAATAATTATACAAAAAAATTATATCAACTTGTAGCTTATGTTCTGGAAATTCCGTATATAAAATTTCATATTTCTAGATTTTCCAGAACCTAAACAATAAAAAATAAAAAAAAGTTGAACATTTTTGAAAAAATAAAAATTCGTGATATGTTTTTTTTTTAATGAATTATTAAATATTTTGGTAAATTTTAAAAATCAAGTTGAACATGGACAAATTATTGGTCTCTATAAAGATGGCAATTCAAAAGTCAAAATCAGCAAAATTCTTGGTTTTTCTAAAAGGATGACCAAGTCAATCTCCTGACCTAAATCCAATTGAACATTTATGGAATGAACCAGAGACTTGTTTTTGAAAAAAACCTAAGCCAGCAAAAAACTTAAAGGAATTAGAGACACTTTTAATTGAAGAATGGGATAAAATTCCAGAAGATGTGTACATGAAATTAATCGAAAGCACGCCTCATAGAATTGAGGCATGTATTGCAAGTAATAGATGGCCTACAAAATATTAAATTAATAAGAGGTTAGATCTGTTGTCAAAGTTTTTAAAATTTACATGTTATTATGTAAATTCTTTCTGTGTTAATAAAAATTAGAATATGGTTTTAATATGAAATGCTTTTACCATTGCTTTTAAATAATGTGGTCACATGATTTCAAAAGTATTCTTGTTTTCTTGGCACTATTGGAGAGCTTTGGGATTTTGCTTTGATAAATTTAAAACTGAAAATTTTAATGAAAGTAGTAGTAATATTGGTGGTGGTGG